TGAAACAAGTCCCTCATTAGTTAATCTGTGCAGCTGGTATATTATATATTGATTTTAAAAGAGATGTATTTGCTCATTTGAAACAAATCAGAAAACACTATCAATACTAAACCCACACTATTATGCGTTACAGACTCCAGTATATATTTATGCTTGTTAAGATAAAGATTTTAACCAGCCAATCCTAGCAGACGGATATAATATAAAACCCATAATTTCTATTTCTATCTATTATGATCTATCTATCCTGAGTTTTCCCGACCAGGGTGGAGATGTATGACAAGTTTTCTGTGAAATTAATTCCCAAGAATCTAAAACTGTCCTTCTCAGCTTCACCGTCTTTGCCTTTTATCGATTGCCTGTTTAGTTTTGTTGATGTTAAGCAGCATCACACAGAAAGATCACTGATGATGATGATGCTTTCTGCAAACTTCCCAGTGTTCTCTCCATGTCTGGGCATGCAGTCATTGATGTGCAGCGTGAACAGGAGGTAACTGAGCACCTAAACCGCGGGGGCTGTTGAGTGGGGAAGATGTGATTGCCAACCCAAAGTGTGTGCGGTCTGTTTGTAAGGAAGACCAATAACCAATTCCAGGGAATAGCACTCAAGCTCAGAATGCTAATTAGTGTGGCAGCATTGAATATAGAGCTGAGAGCAACAGGTGTTGTTATTTTCAAGGTGTACGAGGACAGCTCAGCTCAGCAGATGCAGAGGCTGCCTGGGGATGGTCACCAAGAGGCATCTTTGTTACCTTAATAGAGACTGGTGCTGGCTGCTTTCTTTTAATTTTCATTCTTAACATTAAGCTGAGTAAAACATTTGCTGCCAGTAGCATCTCATTAATCACAGCAAGTGCTATCAATCTTTTCATTTAACTCGCAGCACAAATATGAGCAAGCAAACATTTTTTTTTACGATAAACATTTGCTTAGCACAACATTATCAGGCAGGGCCATAATAACTTATTTTCAAAGGCTCCGTGTTGACTGGAGTCATTTAAAGTTGTTTCAAAAGCTTTTTTCTGAATCACCCAGAACAGCTGCTCCTTTCAACAGTGCGAGTCAGCACAGCGCTACTTTTAACTGATCATAAAATGAGCCATTCTCTTTTTGTTTTTTGTTTTTCATCTCATCAGAAATCTGTTTGAAGGAGTTTCTATTGTCCTGGTTTGTTCATGTGCTTTGATATAAAGATAAAATGCAACACCTGTGACGTGTACAAACTTTTCTCACTTTTAGTTTCCAAGCTAACGTGCTCATAATGAGAATAATTATTATTATTCTAATAAAAATGTACCTTTCAAAACAAATATCAGTTGGAAAACTGCAGTTTAAATTCCATTTTGTTGCATCATGCCAGTTTTATCACCCACAGCTGGGACTGTGGAGCAGGTTTGCCTTTTACTATAACTAAGAGGTGAAACACTTTAACATACCAGGCAATTTAATGTCTACAAGAATTTGCCTTTATCACAAGAAATATTTCAGAGTGTTCCAGAAGTACTCCCAAGTGCTTTTGATAACTGCTCTTTTGTTCATCCTGGTCTGCCTTCTCTCTCATCCCTTTCTTGCATTTGTGACCTGAAGATAGTGCAGAGTCGTCTTTTTCTGTGTTCAAATGATTAAGCTTTCAGTTTGCCATTAATTCTCCTCAAATTCTGTTAGATTTTTCCATTAGGAGGAATCTCAGCATAATATAAAGCAGACTCTAATACTGCACAATAGTCACTCTGAGTAAAAATGCTGAAGAACTGACACTACAAATGAAATTCTTGATGTGGTGAATATAAAGCCTTTATCATTATGGCTCACTTCACAGAACAGCACAAATCTTTAGGCATGTCTTAAAACATAACAGCCTGGATTATGTGCAGTTTCATGCCTGTAAATTCAGACAACATTCAGTCATCGTGTTTGACCGTACAAATTTCAGTACTTACTTCAACATTTGTGAACAGAGTGTTTCCTTTAACCTGCACATTTTGCAAAATTTCTTGGATTCGTTTCTGTCATTATGTGATTTTTGTCAAAATTGGGTACATCCTGTTTGTTGTTCATTTGCTATGTGCAGCCTGGAATATTGTAATACCTTATCATTTGGTTGTTCGAAAATGCTCCTTAAAACTCCTTAATTGGATCCACAATGCCACAGCGAGAGTACTGACAGGTGCTAGAAAAAGCACTTGTGCATCTCTGAAACTCACTACTCTGGTGTACCTAATATGAGGGCTGTAATATGTAGCTAATTTCCTTTCTGTTAAATGCAAAATTGAATTAAAGTCACTTACAAATTATGTATCTTACTGAGTATCTCAGCCTGCAGTCTTCTGTGTCAGACTGCAGACTTACTTGTATTTCAAAACATTTCTAAAAGGAGAATGTGAGGCAGAACCTTCAGGCCCTTCTTCCCAGTTTAAGTTCAGGAGAGAGGCACCCTCTTACTTTTTAAGATTAGCCTTAAAACTTTCCTTTTTGATAAGGTTTATAGTTGGGGCTGGGTCAGGTGACCCTGAACCATCCCTTAGGTGTGGGGATTTTCCGTGATGCACTGAACATTTCTCCGTCACATGGCTGTTTTCACTCTGTGCATGCTGTGCTTTTGTTTGCCATTACTGCATGTCACTAACTTTTGTCTGTTCCTGCTTTGTCTTGATTGTTTATATATCTATGCTCCTTTTCTGTCTTCTCTTCCTTCCTGTTCAAAGGAAATTTTCCTTTCCACAGTAACAAAGTGCTTGGCTCTCTCTAATATTGTAGGATCTTTAACTTGCAACATGAAGTACCCTAAAATTACTTGTGTTTGTCTGCACTATTTATGCTACCGGTGCTATAGAACCAAACTATCGGATATTCTGACTATAACAGATATTAAATAACTATAATATTTAAAATGATGTGTTACAAATTTTTGCCTGTGAGACATGATGCAGTTACTTTGGTCCCCAACTAAGTGAACTTTATCCAGGCATGACTATGTCTTGGAGCAGGGGTGTAAACCGACTTATTTCACCAAAAGAGTAAATAAAGAATGATGTTCAAAGCAAGTATTGGCTGCCTTAAAATTGAAAAACAGAAAGTAAAGAATAGCTGTGGGCTGTCTGAAGAGAACAGCGTGATCCTAATTTCATCAGCTTATCTTTTACTTTTCCATGTATATTAGCATCTGGGATAGTAATTTGCATTTCAACATTGCAGACGTTGTTTTATAGGGCAGGGAAAGGTAGAAAAAAAGTGAGTCTATTTCTCAGTATGCTGTGAGGTGAGAATAGTGGGAAGAATTGTCTTGCCTCTCGCCGAGGGCCCTACATCTCTCAAGTTGGGCCATTATCGAGCTGATATTGTGTTTGTCTAAACTTGGCATAATAAAACCCCTCAGCTTTTCTTACCTTTGCTTTCAAAATGAGAGAACTTTTATTGTCACCAAAGGGACAATAGAGGTGCTTTTGACAAACAACAACAAAACAGCAGCCATCAGGTAAACCCGTAGTACAAAAGAACAGATCATAAAAGAAAAATAAAGCTGTAGAAGCTGTTACTTAACAAATCATTAAAGGGGATTGACTTATACAAAGACAAACAATAGATACAGAACACGTGTTGGGCAAAAATATACTCATGTTACAGTGACAAAGTAATTTCAAATGAGCTAGAACAAGAACATCTATGCTATCTCAGTCTCTTCTTAAGGTTGTGATGAATGATAACTTGAGCAGTCAGATTTCTGCTCTGAGTACTTGTTTCTACTGATTATGGCTGAACAGAAATCTTTGAACTGTCAGAGCAAGAGCAGGTTGTGCTTTTTTCTATCCAATTTTCTCAAAATAATTGAAGGGAAAAATCACAAAACACCCCTCTTTTCCATGCTACACGCCTACATCTACTTGAAAACTTACAATATTTAAAGCAGGATTTCTTGCTGGACGGTTTCCTTAGACTGGATTCATTTTAGCTACTTAAAATTGCACTTTTTGTCTGGTGCCATATATTATTAAAAATCTTTTTTGTTCCGCTGTCATGCCTACCAGAAGCAACAACTAAAAGGTCCACAGGGATCAAAAACCAAAAAAATCAAGTTCCAGAAAAATCAGGCCATTACATCATTTATTGATTAAGTGCTAAAAATACATTGAAAGAGGAACAAAGTGATTATAGATCTTGTTTTTCAGAGGGCACAGCTCTTTTATATCAGAAATACTCCTACTGGGGTCTCAACACGAATGAAAGGGCTGAACAAAGACACTTGAGGTGAGGGTTGGTTGGAGGACTATGCTATCTGTGTGACTCAAAGTGTGATTATGCATTAGTTAATAATGATAATGGCACTTGCATGAAGTGCAGACCTTTTGTGGCTTTGATTAAAATGAGGCCAAAAGGGAACCAAGAATGGTCATCTCTCAAAATGTCCTAAACCCAATGTCTTCAGCATAAAAGCTGACATTCAAGAAGAATATTTAACACATAAACCGATACTCCATTTGTCTTTTAAGTTGCTCTTAATTTACTAATTAAATCTCAGATTATTAGGTTTTTAGCAATTTGGCACAGGCTAGCAGAAGACCAAATATTATCAGCAGTTATGTTAGTGATACCCTAGCCCCCATGTTGCCCAGTCCACTAAAATAAATATGTATGTATGTTATATATCCAGTAGATGGCACAATCTAACTTTAAAGCACAAAATGTCTCCAGTCTCTTTACTTTGTGTGGCTGTGTGTCTCAGTGCAGACGCAGGATAAGCAGCTGTAATATAAAGGCAATATGACTACTCAAAGAGAATCAATGAATAAATTAACCAAAGCTTTGATGAATATATCAATTAAGCCTCACACTGACTACCTGTATGAATGAAGTGGATAGAAAAGAGTCAAACTGAACGCCTCCCTCCATCTCTCTCTTACACACAAACGCCTTCTTGTGTAACTCTATCCTCCTCTCTTCCTGCCCCTTCCCTCCCTCTCTTCACATCTCTCCCTCTTCCGTTTTTTTTCCAATTCTTTACAGCCCACCAGAGGCTGTGAATGGTAGACAACTCATCGTATTTCGTTCCACTGGCGAGTATCACACCAGTTAGAGTGTGGGGAGGCTGAGCAGAGCGCACAGCTACAGTCAGCGATCCTCAGATGTCATGTAAAGTAACTGGCAGAACAGTGGAAATTTTTATCTGAGAGGATGATGACTGTGCTTTAAAAGCACTGAAATACGCACGATTCTTTTTTTTTTATTCATAGGATTTCATGTGCGCGCTAAAGTGGCCATGGCGCATTTTACGCACTACAGGTAACCAGTGTTTTGGAGGCTAAAACAACCAAATCATGGATTAAACTGCAAGTATTTTTCCCCACTTTCTTCAGCAGAGCTGAAATGGCGGCACTTCGTAGAAAATTTGGCGAAGACTATCAGGTGGTTAACACAAATCGGGCTTCATCTTTTTCTGCTCCGGTCAAGAAAAAACGCCAGCGTTTCGTGGAGAAGAACGGTCGCTGCAATGTGCAGCACGGAAACCTCGGTGGAGAGACCAGCAGATACCTCTCTGACCTGTTCACCACTTTGGTAGACTTAAAGTGGCGATGGAACCTACTGATCTTCATCCTAACTTACACCATCGCATGGCTGGTCATGGCATCGATGTGGTGGGTCATTGCGTACATCAGAGGAGATTTAAATCATGGCCACGACTCATCCTACACCCCCTGTGTGGCCAATGTTTACAACTTCCCCTCAGCTTTTCTGTTCTTCATCGAGACTGAGGCCACAATTGGTTACGGCTACCGGTACATTACGGAGAAGTGCCCGGAGGGCATAATCCTTTTCTTGTTCCAATCGCTGCTGGGCTCCATAGTGGACGCTTTTCTCATCGGTTGTATGTTCATAAAAATGTCCCAACCCAAGAAACGCGCAGAAACGCTCATGTTCAGTCAGGACGCGGTGATTTCTCTGCGAGACGGCAAACTGTGCCTCATGTTCCGTGTGGGCAACCTACGGAACAGCCACATGGTGTCCGCACAGATCAGGTGCAAGCTTATAAAGGTAAGCTTAATATCGACACACTCGGCTAATAACATAATAATAAATTTAAAAAGAAGCTAGATCTGCAAGAGTAAGAGCAGTTCGTTTTAGACCACATCTCCTTTCATCAGTAAAGCAAATCATGACTTTGAAATAGATGCAATGTAGTTAACTTACACTAACTTGTTAGACTCCCTGCTGATACACTGGAGCTTCAGCAGCACTGCGTTATCTCATCAGCGTGGAGCACTTTCTTTGAAGGCTGGCATCCCGTGTTTTGTTTGTTTTTTACTTTCCTTAAGCTTCCACGGTCATTTATTTTAAGCGTGACTGCACACTTGAATGACAGCTTGCATCGCTGAATCTCTAACCTAAGCCCACGAGGCCAAAGACAAGCTGCAAATTGCTCAAGTATATAACAAGTATATATGGTGAAGCTGAGCAGCAGCCAGATGGGTGCCTCACAAACCACTGAAATAAGAGAGAAAAGACTGTGTTGTCATTGTGTGCGTGTGTGTGTGTGTGTG